CTCCTCTACAAGACCCGCGAAGCTTTCGAGAAGGCGCTTGAGTTCTTCCGCGCCATCGTTCAGCTTGAACCCAACAACGGTGAAGCTTGGGGAAACTTGGGTATGTTTGTTGTCATGACGCGACAATACAGCGCTGACCAATTACTCAGGGCACTGTTATTTAATGACAGAAAATCTACAGAAAGCCTACGACGCATACCAACAGGCATTAGTTAACTTGAGAGACCCTAAAGTGAGAATGATTGCACACAAGTGGAATATGCGCATTGGTCGCAATATGCTGACAAGACCCCGCAGGATCCTATGCTGTGGTATGGTATTGGCATACTATACGATCGATATGGCAGCTACGATTACGCCGAAGAAGCATTTTCTCAAGTTATGAATATACAGCCTGACTTCGAGAAAGCAAATGAGATCTACTTCCGACTCGGTATAATATACAAACAACAGAACAAGTGGGTTCAGAGTCTCGAGGTACGTTCTGGTCTTGTGCCCACTTTTGTTGCGCGTGGCTGACCTTTGCAGTGTTTCAAATACATTGTCAATTCTCCTCCTGGCCCTTTGACGCAGGAAGATATTTGGTTCCAGATTGGTCATGTCCATGAACAGCAGAAGGATGTAAGTGTCTCGCCATAGCAACAGAAATAGCGACATGTCTAATTTGATACAGTTTGATAGCGCTAAGGCCGCCTATCAGCGTGTCCTGGACCATTCACCCAATCATGCAAAGGTTCTTCAGCAGCTTGGTTGGCTCCATCACCAGCAGAGCAACACTTATGAGAGCCAAGATCGAGCCATCCAATATTTGGAGAAGTCAGTCGGCGCAGGTACGTTGTGAACACGAAACAATCTAATACCTATACTGACATGCGAGTAGATAATCAGGATGCCCAGAGTTGGTATCTCTTGGGCCGATGCTATATGTCGCAGCAGAAGTACCCGAAGGCTTATGAGGCTTACCAGCAAGCTGTTTATAGAGATGGAAAGAACCCAACTTTCTGGTGCTCCATCGGTGTGCTTTACTATCAAATCAACCAGTACAGAGACGCACTCGACGCTTATTCTCGCGCTATCAGGCTAAACCCTTATATTTCAGAAGTTTGGTATGATCTCGGAACTTTGGTATGTTGTATCGATCTACCCTTTTCTCTTTGGTTGTGTATTGACCAGTTCTTAGTACGAAAGCTGCAACAACCAAATCACGGATGCCTTAGATGCTTACCAGCGTGCTGCTGAGCTTGATCCAAACAACCCCCATATCAAGGCGAGACTTCAGCTCCTTCGCTCTGGCGGTACCAATGGAGGACCTCCCCCTGCTCCTCAGCCTGCAGATGTTCACCCGCAAGCTTACCAGGCGGCTGGCCCCGTTGGACCTCAATGGGGAGGATCAACTCAACAACCGCCTGCTGCCGGTCCTCCACCACCCCCTCAAGGTCCAGGAGAGAACTGGGCGGGCAGACTCTCTAACATAAACCCTCCACCACAACCCCCCAATCCCTATGAAGCCCGAGGCGAGCCTTTCCGTGGAGGACCTGCACCACCACTGCGACAACCTAGCCCTCAGCAAGAGCAGTTGCGCCAGCCCTATAACGATCCCAACCGAGGCGGCCCTCGCCGTGGTCAAACACCCCCTCCTCCCGGCCACCAATACTCTCAACCGCCTCACGCACCTCCCCAATCTCAGCCTTCTGCCCCTGCTTCTGAGCGACGAGTCGCAAATCCTAATTGGGGTGGAGCGACACCGTCAGCATCAGCACCCCCACCCAGCAACATTAACGGCCCCAACGGTCCTAACGGCATGGCTCCTTTCCGACCTACCAACAGCCCTCGACCTGATGGCCGCCCCGTTCACGACAACCGCATGCCTTCACCAAAATCTGCATACCCCCAGCACCAGGCCCCTCCTCTGTATCCTCAACATCCCGAGATGGCTGCTCAGGGAGCTGAGAATGGACCTCAAGGACCATCTGGACCGCCAGGACCTCCACCTCCACCTGCAGTGGCTGAGGCTGCAATGCAGAGAATGGAAGACCGGCCACCTTCAGTCGGCCCTAAGCGCATGCGAGAGTGGGAAGAGGAATCTGCTGCCAAGAAGCAAGCCAGTGAGGAAAATCGAGTTCGACTCGATGACATGCGTCATCGAAGACCGTCTACTCCTCCTCGTGATAATTACCGTCGTAACTCTTCTGAAGTTCGACGAGCTGAGGATACTCGACGACCTGATGAACCACGCCGCGAGGAACCCCGCAGACCCGAATCAGCCCCTCGCCATGCCACTGAGAGCTACCATCCCTCCGATGCAGCCCATCACCCCCCAAGCCACTTACCACCAATGCAGCAGCCTCCCACTCCAATGTCTGGCGTTGTTCATGAGAAGCCTCCAGTTTCTGCTACACCCAAAGAAGATCGTCCCCCAAGTCTGGAGCATGCTCCGCCTCCTCCTCGCGCAGCGCCCCCTGCCGAGCCTGAAAGGGCAGCAAGAAAGATGGACGTTGATGAGGACTACGATGATAGTGGGGAGGACGAGAAGAAAGTGACTATTGTTACAAATGGCTCTGGTCCCGGCTCGGCAGCTGGAGATGTCAAGACATCCACTCCCGCGAATGCTGGTGTAAATGGAGTTTCTGGTACCGTCACAAAAGTTGAATGAATGATAATTTGGCAGCCGCTTGTTATTTATGAGTTGAAGACATCTCTTATCTGTGCCGAATAGTATGCCTTTTTGTATACCACTATTATCTGGGGCGTGGTTTCTTTTGTTTGGACGGGGAGGCTCAAGACAGAAATTCAAAACCGGGGGTTATGGTCCTTCTTGGCTACGATTTCACCGGCGAACAAGATTATTTTGCACATTAATTTCATTACTCTGATCAATAAAACTCAGTTGTATCTACTAAACAAATCGTGTTCATTCAGTGACGTTCAGCTGCAGACATTTCACAATGTAGACACGCTAGACCGCTTTCAGTTATGGTCCCGGAACGAATCAAGGTCACGTGGGGGCTCGTATCTTGTCAGGGCTCTTCTCGGTGTGTTGAAGTTTAGCCCTCGAAAAATGCTCACTTCTTTCGGTGTGGCTCGGTGAAGAAGGAAGGTGGGGGTTTGACGATGCACGGGCCACCCACGAATTTCGAGCAGTTCGCTTAAAATTTCGCCCACATTTTATTTCTTTATCTCTTTTCTCTCAGGCTTTGACAACTCAGGTTCATACTAACCCCCTCAAACCACACAGCCCGCCCAAGATGAGTGTGAGTTAGATCTCGACGACGAAAGCAATTGCTTCAGCTTGAGCAAACTGACAATATGAACAGCACCGAAAGTTTGAGGCTCCCCGCCACGGCTCCCTGGCTTACCTGCCCAGGAAGCGCGCTGCTCGTCACCGTGGAAAGGTCAAGTCGTGAGTATTTTCTGCTGCACCAACAAGAAGAAAAATCTTTTGGCGATCTCTCCTAGCAGAAGAAGACATTGGCTAATGCATTGGGACAAACAGCTTCCCCAAGGATGACCCCAAGAAGCCAGTCCACCTGACAGCCGCTATGGGTTACAAGGCTGGTATGACCACCATCGTTCGTGACCTCGACCGACCTGGCGCCAAGGCCAACAAGAAGGAGATTGTTGAGGCGGTTACTATCGTCGATACCCCACCTGTACGAACAATGCAGCCCGCTTGGCTATGTGCCTATGGCTAACATCTTTTAGATGATCGTTGTTGGTCTTGTGGGATACATCGAGACTCCCCGAGGCCTGCGATCCCTCACCACCGTTTGGGCCGAGCATCTGAGCGACGAGGTCAAGCGCCGATTCTACAAGAACTGGTACAAGAGCAAGAAGAAGGCTTTCACCAAGTACGCCAAGAAGCACTCCGAGAACAACGGTGCCTCCATCACCCGCGAGCTCGAGCGCATCAAGAAGTACTGCACCGTCGTCCGTGTCCTCGCCCACACTCAGATCCGAAAGACCCCTCTCAAGCAGAAGAAGGCCCACCTTATGGAGATCCAGGTCAACGGTGGTTCCATCGCCGACAAGGTCTCTTTCGGCCAGGAGCTTTTCGAGAAGCCCGTCGACATCTCTAGCATCTTCGAGCAGGATGAGATGATTGACGTCGTTGCCGTCACCAAGGGTCACGGATTCAACGGTGTCACCGCCCGTTGGGGCACCAAGAAGCTTCCTCGCAAGACTCACAAGGGTCTCCGAAAGGTTGCTTGTATCGGTGCTTGGCATCCTTCCCACGTCCAGTGGACTGTTGCCCGTGCTGGTCAGATGGGTTACCACCACCGAACCTCCGTCAACCACAAGATCTACCGCATTGGTAAGGGCGATGCTGACGACAACGCCGCCACTGAGATCGATGTCACCAAGAAGACCATCACTCCGTATGTTGCTTAGTATTTTGGTATCGACTGACAATTGCTAACATTTCATAGTCTCGGTGGTTTCGTCCGCTATGGTGAGGTCAACAACGACTTCGTCATGCTCAAGGGTTCCATTCCTGGTGTCAAGAAGCGAGTTATGACTCTCCGAAAGACCATGTTCCCTCAGACCTCCCGAAGAGCCCTCGAGAAGGTCAGCCTCAAGTGGATCGACACCTCGTCCGAGTTTGGACACGGTGCTTTCCAGACCCCTGCGGAGAAGAAGCAGTACCAGGGTACCCTCAAGAAGGATCTTGCCTCCGCTTAGAGCGGCTGCTTGTTTTATTTCTTGTCTTGACCAATTCATTGCACCGGTGTCGAGGGTTGGTTCGTTACTACTGCACGCCTTGCGTTTGGGCTGGGTTAGGTTACAACTGGCGTGGAACGTAAAAAAAGTCCGGCCAGAAGAGGGATGGCTTTCAAAAAATTCTAACGAGATTCCCAATGTTAATATGACTGTACCTTCGTTCTCCGGTGAATATGTGTTTGATTTGTGTGTATGTATCGTCCTGTGTAGCTGTCTAAACGAAATCTTAGTGTAGAGATATATAGATAAGTATGTTGTACCACTGGAATTGCATTTTTACATGCATTCACTTCCTCCCAATCATCCGTTTGGCTCTGCACGGATTCTTCACCTGCCAATTGACTTTTGTAGATACATCATTTAGACTCGTCTTTTCAGACTATACTATTTCATGTTAAGATGTACGTTTCTGGGTTTACGCTTTGCTTTGTGCTTTCTAGAGTTTATGGTTCCATCGTGAAGCTCCCACCTATGATTCACTTATACTTGAGCTCGACCTGACACAGTGAATAATAGTTGGGCATACTTCTTTCTTCGTGTATCTCTATAATACTCAAAATGGGCAAAAAGAAGAACAAAAACAATGGCACTGATGCCGCCTCAAGTGCACCATCAAATGTGCTCACTACGACGTCGACTATCGTAGCGGACCCCATACTTGGCTACAGAATCCGAGTTCTTCTCCACGATTTCCTCAACGTCGCCAAAGATTCTCATTCAGAGAAACGCCTCAACTCCACAATCGATGAACACTATATCAGTGCTCCGTATTTTGATGAGGGACAAGCTGCGATGGTCAAAGCTGCGATTATAGATGTTGACCTTGTCAAGCATGCTGAAGCTGCCGATACTGAAGATCTTGATCAGGCTTTGAGCTCACAACGAGGAAAGAGTTTTGAAACCGCAGTTCGAGCACTTTTGGAAAGTTTCATCGACAAACGACGTGCCAGTGGTGATGCTCGACCATGCGGACCTCATCACTTGGCACCTTTGTATGCCAAGTTCTTTGGTATTGATTTGGAAGAACTCAAGGAGAATAAGTTCTTGAGTCGTCTGAGGAGATCTGGCATCTGAATCAGAGCGGTATAGACACTCTAAACTCTTTAATAGGATGACCTAAATACCTACTGACAGCTTATTTTAGGATCGGATCTTACGTCTCGACATGTGCTAAGCAAGTGACGTTGTTGATCTATGGCTTGTGATTGGCCGATCTTCCCTGCTGTGAATCTCATCCCTGACGTCACCCCACTCCCTAAACTTGCATCTGCATGTTGCGTTGCAGCTTTTGACTTGACGCCTGAGCTGAGATCTCTCCCAATGACACTTCGAACTCCTTGTAGACGCCTTGTCAACCTGAATCTTGACTCTCTTCGTCCTCGAAACCAACCTTTTCTCCCGCGAACAACTATCTCTCGACATACCACAAGACTACTTAGCAACACCAGATCCCTCAAAATGTCAAACGACGACGATTACATGGCTTTCCTGAACAAGGCCAACCAAGACACCGGCGCAGGTGCTGCGACTCAAGGAAAGACTACCTTCAAGTCAAAGGACCAGGGCGCTCAGGTCCCCAAACCCATTAGTGACGTATGCAAGAACGCCGTATACACATCCGACGCAGACGAGCCCTTCGAAGAGGTTTCTCTCAAGTGGGAGGGCAAGAATGGTCTCCCCAGCGAGAGTAAGAAATACACTCCTATCAATGAAGATGATAAACTGACATGTTCTTAGCCGAATTCGCCAAGCTCATCAACCACTCCTCCCCCGACTCGGCGGACATCAAGATCCTTGATCCTCTCAACTGGGACTCTCACGGCAAATACACCGACGTCATTGAGGCTGTTCGTGAAGCCTCACAGGGTAACGATGTTCGTGTATACCAAGTATCGAGAGATGCTACAAGGACCGAGTATTGGGTTGTTTCGCACGCTGATGGTAAGCTGATTGGTGCTAAGGCACTCTCAGTTGAGAGCTGAGCGCGCATGGGTGGACATGTAATGATATTTTGAGCGTTTGGTGCGGGAAATTTATGAATTAGCGTAATGAATACGCTTGAATCTGCTGTATTTGTTGACTCATGTCTGACTTATCGCGTGAAAAGGCATGAATGAAGCATAGCCCCCAGCTCAAAATTTCGATCCAGTGGTGCTTTCAAGACTTTTAGCCATCTTAGTTGGCTAAATTATCCATGGTGAGATACATAAGTACCAATTTCCAATACCCAAGGTTAATACACAGGACAAACCCGACCTGCCAACATCACTGCCATGATCACCACCACCAGAGCTCAGTTGTGGGGAAATCCATTGACTGGCGTATACTTCTGATCAATGATGATGTATATCCAGGGTCTCCTGCGTGGTGCACAATCGTCTGGGTGTGAATATCCTGACACAAGCCCCACCCCTAGCTTTGGTTTTTGATCGTGGACAAGCATCAGCAAGTACAATTATTCTATAGCTTTTACCTAGTAACAACCAAGAAATAGGATCTAAGTATTCCCATAATATCCATAAAAGTATCAACAGTGTAGTCTCTGGGCAGGATAAAGTCTCAGTAATCCTGATCGCTAAGGTTACTTCCAGCCGGAGCACCTCAGATAACTCTAATCAACATCAAAGCATTAAATGCTCCATCGTATTTGTTGTGATAGAAACCACCGGCTTCTCGATTGGGAGCCACCCTAGAGCGAAGCCCCTGGGTCAATTGCACTGCAGCATCAACACATTTCGTGGCATGAGTCGAATCGATAGGGTAGTGTATTAGGGCTACATGGCAATGTAATGCACGAGGTATGAATTGAGCTGAAAGATAAGATCATGGCAGCCACGGTCATCAACAAGAAAACTTCACTACTGATACCAGGCATACAGAACTCCAACAGAGTGACACATACTTGCTTTGCGTTCATTTGGTGTATTCATTTCTCATAAATGCTCAACGTCGAGCTCGGTATCTTCCATATTACCAACTCCTCCTTAGAATTACAGTGACAGAACTCCAGTTAATAAAATGCTCCAAGACCGCCGGTAATGCAATAAACCCAATAATGAAACATCCGTGTCTTTCCAGGGACCTGTTCAATCTGTACATAGCATGTCTGGCGGCACCGGAGAATCCCTCTTTAGACCAGGACCGGAACCAAGTCTACTGAGTGTATTTTCTGGTAGCATGAGTATGTCTTGGCTCTCCTCATCTTGGCGCGCGATTGGAGTCTTGATGTCTAAGTCCATCTCACCAGTCATATGCTGAGATTCTTCTGGTACTGTAAGACAGCTGCTCGTGTCAGACATTTCGACGTCGTTATTCTCTTTCAAGATGCTGTTCAAGCTCTTAAAGTTGTCCGTGTTTAGTGTCGGTGCCGTGAGAAAGGTGATGAGGGGTGCCTTAATGGCCGTCACAGGTGTCTTGATCTCCTCAACGTCCTTGACCTTAGCAGCCTCAGCTCTAAGAGCAGCGATGGATCCTCCAATGTTCTCGTCATCGTCATCATCATCTTGGCCGATTGTCCATACCCACCTACGCTTCTTCTCCTTTTTCTTGCGCTTCGAGATACCCTTTGGCCCTGACGGGGAGAGGGGAGTACCCGATGCGGCCAGTCCTGTCATACGGCGACGCATATCCTCAAAAGGTCCAGGTGTCTGTCCTCCATCTTGGATCTCGTTTGGTGTGAATGCCAAGGCTAGATCGATGGCACTCTGAGGCTGAGGAGGCACGCATGGAGGGGAGTGCGGCGAAGCCTCCTCAACGAGGAGGTCAATGTGAGATTTTGTGTACTTATTTGTCACAATTTCCTGAGTGAGGGGGTTGTTGTAGCACACTCTTCGATTTGCCCTATCCTGCAGGCGCCGTGATTGTCGTCGAGGAGACGGAGGAGGAATAGCTGTGGGTGGAGGAAGAGGTGAGTTCCGTAAGATACTGTGAAGTGATCGAGGATGTGTGTAAGGGGCCTGCAGGGTGAGCTGAGCAAGAGTTTGTGGGCGAGTCAGAGTACGCTTCTCGGGCTGTAAGATATCATTCCTGGCCGGGGCCGCGGATATATCAGCAGGGGAAAAGCTAAAGGCTTTGGTAGTGTTTGAATCTATTGGGCCAGCGGACAGAGGAGGCGTGGCCGTCATTGTGCTCGGGTAGTTGATCTCCAGTCCTGGATGTGGTGAAGGAGCAGTGTCAGACGAAGGAGTCTCAGGGTATGAAGCGACATAAGGCGTAACAACTCTGTGTTTCGGGTCCTGTCGTTCCACTGGGGTTGTCAAACTGAAAGCCTGGAGAGTATTGATGGCGGTAATGGGTTCATGCTGAGATGGGGTTGCCCTTTCGATTGTGGTAACATAGACATTGGACAACGTGTTAAAGGCAGTTGGATCCTTTGGGTCCACTGCATAACTTCTTGACGACCTGGTGGCCGGACTACATGCTGTCTGGATCTGAAGCGAAAGCCGGGGCTTCTTGGGCGGAGCTTGAGAAGATGCCATGATGCTAGATGTAGATGATAGATAGATCAAGAAGGCTGGTATACCGGAGCACACAAGAGACGAGCTGCCAAATTGCCTTGGTTGAGTTGCAGGTGACTGTGTCTATCAACCAACAGACAAGCAACCAACGTCTAACAGGCCTAGGCGAGGACGCTGTTACCGAGAGACCGGAACCGACAGGGATATAAAAACGTTACAATGTCAAAAACGCAGAAACAACACGAACAAACAGCGAGAAACGAGGACATTGCGTCTATATAGGATGATAGACAGTGAGACATGCATCTCACTGGATCTTGGGTGGGCGGGGAGACATGATCAGGGCTCTCATCCGCTCTTTGACCCAGTCCTGACACCCAAACAAGCGCCCCTAGGCATGCATGCAGTGTGATGAGCCCTTCATGGCCTAGACGCGAAAATGTCGAGGGGTTGAGAAGGATTCAGCCCTGGGAGACTCTGACCTGCCAGAAGCGTAGCAAGTTGACGAGGATGTCATTGGCGGGTGCTGTGGTTGGTTCGCCAGAGCAACTTGGTGGGAAGCGTTAGAGGCGCAAGCGCCCAAGTTCAATGTGTGATCCTAGTAAGCTTCAACTATGTCCAATCACGCGGCTAATAGGTCGGCTCTTTCACTCGCGCTGGCGTCTATGCAAGAGGTTTCCAATGTCCCCTCCCCTTAGACGACATGGCGCCTTGGCGTGGAGGAGTTGAGAAGAGGATGACTGGTCGTTTGGGTTATCGTCATATTGAAAACTTCAGGTATGATTAAAGCCGATCCTTCCTAAGTGTCGAATTTGAAAAGTCGGTATAATCCTTCAAAGAGAACAAAGACCCAGCTGCGGCGAGGTGATGCTCAGCCATGTTCTAAGCCATGATTTTGACAAGGCTTGCCCTTGTTTCCGAAGCTTCGACCATCTTTGTTGAAATTGCGCTTGTTTAGGGCTGACACAAAGGCGCTGACAGTCTTGAAACAAACAATAACAATGTGAGGAGAAGAGTGATTGTTGACAATAACCAAAGTCCAGCAATGAATAACAAGTGCGGTAAGGATGGCTCGCCCCAATGCAGGTCTTTCAAAGCCCAGAGTTGACGCCATTGGGTGCCAGACAACCTTCTTTTTGCAAATCTAGTACATACTTGGGCGGCTACAGCGCAACTGTGGATGGTCGAAACTGCGTAGTAATGTTCGTCCGGACAAGGATCAAAGCGGGGAACTAGAGTCAGACTCGCCTGAGTTGAGAAGGATCGGAAGCAGTTAAGACTAGATGCTGATTTCTCCTGCGAGAGTGCGACTATTATCCAGCCGAGCACCAAGTCTATCGGCTATCCACTCGTCAAAAGCAGGGATGAGGTGTTGGTGTTTGCAGTAGGAGAATGACTCACATAGCATCGGGCATGTCACATAATGGGCACTGCATCTGTATTTCTTTTAACGTCATCCTTTGGAAATTTATCCTCACCACTTTATGGGAACGGATGGAGCAGAATCCTTGGCTCAGCTGCGGAGACGAACATGAGGGTATCATGTGTCGAGAGCGAGAGTCGTCTGAAACGAAATTATAGACACCGCGCCTATTCTGCACTGGATCAGGTTCGGGGGAGAAAAAAAAAAAAGACCTGTTTGTTCCTCGGGCGATTAAATTCAACGTGATTCATTTTATCAAGAAAACCAATCGTTGTTTGATGATACAGACAACTTGTTGATGCACGGGCGTGGTGTAAGTCACATCCATAGAAATGGGGGTACGGACGCATTGACGCCTCAGGCACAGCGGCCTTAGAGGGCGACACCAATAAGTCACAGGCACCGTGAATGAGCGCTCACCTGAACTGATAGTGCGTCCCCAGAGATTTTATGCCCAGATGTGCTGGCTCTTTACACGCAGCTTCATTATTTGAATTAACAGCATCGTGGATTCAAATTGGCCTTTTGCGCAAGGCACGAATGCTCAGTTACCTGTAACTCTCGACAAGCGCCATTCGCCCACTCGCACATGAAACTTAAGCCCATGTTCCCCAATCCTTCATCCTTTAGGTTGGCAGCCATAATCAAGGATGGAGCCGCCGAGCAAGAAGAGACCTAAAAGGAATGACGCTCGAATTATCTTGCAATTCGTGCGTTCCAGCCACCCAGCTGCAACTGATAACCTTGGCCGTTGCTAACTGGCTGAACTGTACAGGACTACGACTGTTTCTATGCACAGGTCTTTGAGAACAAGGACCCAAAGCTCAAGAAATTGCCATTGGGCGTCAAGCAAAAGAATTGTCTAGCGACCTGCAACTACAATGCTCGGGCTCGTGGTCTCACAAAGCTCATGTCCGTCTCTGAAGCGAAAAGACTGTGCCCGGAGCTTGTCCTTGTCGACGGCGAAGACCTTACGCCCTTCCGTGACATGAGCAAAATCCTATTTAACCTCTTTAAAACCTTTTCGTGGAATCATAAGGCCGAACGTTTGGGATTTGATGAGGTGTTCATGGGTATGTCATCATCTCGCATCGTAAACAAATTATGGTGTTGACTAAGACTGCTATGTTCTCGCAGATGTAACGGATATCATCGAATACAACTTATCCTGCCTCAACCGAGCATGCTTGGAAGATTCTTTCTTTTGCCTTTCCAAAAGTGATCCCGAACGAGGATTTCAATGCGATGTGACGAGCATTGCTGGCTGTGTTGAAGGCTTAGCCTCCTCCACCCCCGACCTAAACAATCCAGCCTATATGCGCCTCATATTGGGATCACATTTTGCCCAGTTCTTACGACGACAGGTGGAAGAAAAACATGGCTTTACATCCACTTGTGGGATCTCAACTAACAAGATGCTCAGCAAACTTGTCGGCAGCAAGAATAAGCCTCGAAATCAAACGACACTACTGGCCATTGCCGAAGACGAGGTGATCGCCTTCGTAGACGCCCATAAATTGCGAAGAATTCCTGGTCTAGGGTTCAAGACTGTTCAGGTACTGGGTACCCATGCTGGTGCTGACATGAGTAAAGGTGTATCCGAAATCCCAGAGTTGAGTGACAATCCTGTGATAGTTGCCGATGTGCGCCTCCACCCTGACATCTCGCCCGGAGCAATAGAAAAGCTATTTACAGGGCCTGGGTTAGAGAAAGGGGTAGGTGTACGAATCTGGGGTTTACTACATGGAGTCGATGCAACTGAGGTTAAGGAAGCCAGCGATGTGCCAAGCCAGATTAGTATCGAAGATACCTATAAGGGCTTAGACACTCTGGCACACATAACAGAAGAGCTACACAAGCTATCATGCTCACTCATTCGAAGAATGAGAACAGATCTTCTCGTAACCGATGATGGGGCAGACACTCCAGGGGCACAAAAATGGATCGCCCGACCAAAGACCTTGCGACTATCGCTCAGGACATGGGCGTATCTGCACTCAGCGCAAGGCCAGAATTACAGTCGCATCTCTCGATCGGGGCCTTTACCAAATTTTATCTTTGCTTCCAAAGATGACATAGCTCATATTGCGGAGCGGCTCGTCAGTGAAGCTCTGTTGCCACTGCTACGGCGTCTGTCCCCAGAAAAGGGACAGCGGTGGAATCTACAGATGCTCAATATCTGCGTGGCAAACATGGTAGTTGGTGCAGCGGATGACAAGACAGGAGCAGGCAGGGACATATCTGTCATGTTTAGACGTCAAGATGAAGTGCTGAAGCCCTTTCAAGTGATAGAAGAGCAGCATGTTACACAGAGCGAGGAAATTACACAAACAGTGTCAGAAGGCGACGGTGAAGACAAAGAGGGCAATGATTGGGACACGGGGGACAATGAAATATGTCCTCTTTGTGGCCATTCTATTCCTTTGTTCGCTGTGTCGGCGCATCAGAGATATCATGAAATGGAAGGATGTTAATATGCAGTGTGCCGTGTACCTTGACCATGATCCTTTCCTGCCAGAAGTATGGTCTGTTCTTTGTTTCTATACTTCTATACTTTTGCCACTCGTACTATTAAAGCTTTGGCAGGCGTCAAAAGGGAAGAGACGTGCTATTCTTGCACAGAGTCTCCAGTTGTATCGGATCGATTTTGCAGCTATCACGCGGTCCGCTTCATGCTCACCGATGGCTCGACCGAGATACGGTAACACAACCCTCTGATTTGTACATCGATTAGCCACGATACACCGGGTAGTGAAGCCGAAGGTTTTGCGTCACGGCCAGTAGCTTGATTATGTTGAAATGCTCGATTGAGTGAAAGTGTGGCGGGAATACTTGATAGTTACAATATTGACTTGGAGCCAAATCCAAAACGCCCACATTTATATATAATATATATTCGCACTCTTAGTTTAACGAAAGTTAAGGTCGATCATGTCTCTCACTCAGACATTTTCTTATCGATTGACAGCCCAATACTGAACAACCTCCTTCCGGGTTGCAAGTAACACAACGTTGCGGAGTTGCAGCCCCTTTCATCCAAAGACAAAAGTGTCTTTTGTTGCGCGGTGATAGTTCTGATGAAAAATCTGAAGGTGAACTCAGAATAAAATGAACTGTTATGGGATAGAAGATGGCAGTAATAATCGAAGCATAAAAGGTGTCGAGTTTCACCGACCTGACCAGTACCACGCAGCTATATGATGCACGCAACCGAACTGAAGCGATCCGGATCCATACCTTACTGTCTACCAATAAATACACATATAGGTACTAGAGTAGTAGGTGCACGCAGTGAGGCGAATGACTCCATACACATCGTACATTGTGACACTGCTGCACCCGCGTTTGCCCCCCCCCCCCCCCCCCCCCCGTCTGCAGGAGCTGGGTACCTAGGTAGGTAGGCGAGCTTTTTGAGGCAATGGTGGTATATAGATAGTGGTTAATCGAGCTGGCACTGGCAGCGGCCAGTAACATTCCGCTGCCAGCTGGCGACACTGTCAAAGTCGCTGGTGAAGCATCATCCTGAAGGTGCACCGCATTCACTCCTGCCTTCTTGACTTCGTCACCTCGTCACCTCCCTTCCCACTTTCCTTGATATTTTATTTTCTTTCATAACTTCTTCCATTCACCTCTTCCTCGTTGAATTCGCGTTATAAACATGCAAAGCAAGGATTCTACTGCGGAAACCACGCGACTGCATCTGTATCTCCCCTTCCGCTTGGCATGCTGCCTTCCCTTCTTCTTTGTGTCTGCCTTCTATTCTCATCCGACCATTCTCTGTTTGTAACTTCACTTTCTTCTTTACCACCGACTGTTTATAGTGTTGTTCTTCGCTCTCTTTAATTGTTCGTTTGACTTTGCCATACCAACTGCATCGAGCCGGCCACTTGTTTACGACTTCTGTTTGACTGACTATACGCTTTCCATGAATGAGATGCCCAGTACGAGAAACATTTCGGTCTAAAACGGAACCAAATACCAGGTATTCATCGTGCGATGGTATCGTCTGCGCCCTTCACTGAAATCCAGAGCACAGCCCATCGCAACTTAATCATCCCTCGACACTCAAAGCACTCATACTATTACGACCCTTACCTCTACAGAAAATAAGAAGACCATTCGAGATTTGCATCAGCCAGGATCACCAGAGATCTATCTTAACCAAGCAGCTCAGTCTTAGCTATCAAGAACACTAAACACCGAAGTCATGGCTCGAGGTGGACGAGGAAGTCCAGTCCCTCGCCGGCCAGTTGACCTGACTGGCATTCTCTCCATTGCCGAGAAAAACGATCTCACCACTCTTATCACTGCAATCACAGAGAAGCTTCACAACGACATCAGCGTCATATTTGATTCTCCGCCTGTCACACCTACTCTGGGAGACTTAGGCGATATCGGCCATCACCACTGGCTGGCTTTGTCACTCAAGACGAATGGAAAAGAGAATGTGAAACCTCGAACTCCTTCTATGTGCAAACCTGTAACAAAGGTGTCACAGAAGAGCGTCGATACAAGCCAGTCCCCCGATAAGGACAGCTCGGAGAACATCACACCTCAGTTGAGGGAGCTTAAGAAAGAGGCTCTTATCTTCTTCCGAAAATGGCAGTCAATCTTTCTGCAGCGTCTTCGCGATATAAGTGTCATGGAGTCAAACGGTTCTCAATCTAACAGCCGTAGTCGTGGACGTGGCACTGCGCGAGCTGCACGAGGTGGACGCGTGGCTCGTGGAGGGAGAGGGGGTGGTCGTGGAGGCATCGGAGGTCTAACACTGGCAACTGGTAAGTCAAGACAAGGTCTTCGATGTTTTTTTCTTTCCCCGTTGAAGTCATATAAGTGTATTCAAAGCTAATATCAACAAGGTACTCCCCGCACCCCTTCTAATCACGTTGATCGCGAACTATCTCGACGTTTTCCCCCTATTCCGACTTCCCTCTGGACTTTGCCACTCGATAAGCGCAAACTATTGCTGCACATTTCGCTTTTGATTCTTATCTCACTTCAGGAGTATACTGCATATGCTCGTATGACTCTTCTGAACCTGACCTCATCCCTGAACCTCCCCTTGAAGGTGCTTCATGAGGAAGAGAAGCGTATCGCAGAGGGTTTCAGTCAACTTGCAGTTGATGCAGCCATTGAGCAAGCATCTGAGCCGAACCAAGATGAGAATAAGCCTGTCCTGAAATCGAAGGCACGAATTGCTGCTATGACTGGCCCCTTCCGACTTGGAACACAGCTTATTGCCGTAGGTATCGGAACTCCTCATGGCGGGCTGGGACTACGACTTCCAAACGCTGCTGGGCTCTTGGGACCTATGGCAGATAACGGCCCTTCTACTGGCTCAATGCTTGGGATCTATATGGCAAGACCCACTGAGAAATTGATTGAGTCGTTTTCCCGAGAGATCCAAGACTTTGGGCTTGTTCCGACCCGCGGAGGCCTTCAAGGGGATTATGTTGACGCAAAAGCTATCCCAGCCAGCTGCCGACGATTACGCTTGGTGATTGCTATGAACGGTTGGGTAACAGACAAGTATAATCTCATTGGCCCTTGGAAGATTCTTGGAGATAATGGGGAGGTTTATGTCCTGCGATGGGAAATGAACGTCCTTGCCAACATAGGTACTGCCCTCGAGACAGTTGTGAAAAGCTCAGCCTGGACCGCTGCCCAGAAAGCCATATCTTCGCGAACAAGTATGTTAAAAATTAACAAGATTAGAGAGAAAAACTAAAATATAATAGTTTTCAAAAGCCTTATCGAAGCCACCTGGCCAACCGAGCTCATGAAAGTGAGCAAGATTATCGACAACCCCTGGAGCATGGGCATGGTCCGCGCCGAGAAAGCTGGAGCGGTGCTTGCCGACGCTGTAATGCGCAGCAAGATTCAGGGAGACCGTCCTGTATCCCTTATTGGGTTCAGCTTGGCAGCCCGAGCTATCTACGTTTGTTTGATGATTCTTGCTGAGAGGCGTCAGTTCGGCCTCATCGATTCCGTCGTCTTGATGGGCACACCCGCTCCCTCAGAGAGCCGGGTTTGGTTAACCCTCAAGAGTGTTGTGTCTGGTCGGCTAATCAACGTCTATTCAGAAAGCGACTATCTTTTAGGATTTTTGTATCGTACCTCCAACATTCACTTCGGCGTGGCAGGCCTGCAACGAATCCAGGGAGCAGATGGTGTCGAGAACCACGATGTTAGCAACCTTGTGAACGGACATTTGCGTTATTCCACCCTGGTTGGGAAAATTCTCAAGGATATTCACTGGGAGGACCTGGACCTGAACGCCTAGAAAGCGGAGAAGCTGCGCAGGACCACTTAGAACGAGAAAAGTGTCGGCAACATATTAGGCAGGACTGGACAGGATGAGAGTATCTTTGCTAGTGGCACCCCGACAAGATTGCAGAAGCAAGGTTTATATGTAAGATTAACACCAAAGTGCACTTTAGACTCGCATTCCCATAGGGAAAGGGCAGTTATCAACGATTTTCTTTGTATGAATCTCGTAACCTCTTAACTCCCCCAATCCCAAAGCCTTGGCAAAGTGCAGTACTCCTGTCCCTTATGCTGATGCGTATGCTAACGACAACTACTATGTATATGTACGTCTGCATGCTCTAGTTGAGAAATGACGAACCTAAGCATCCAGCCATATTGAGCAGATTGGGGATCCAAATACTTGTCTATTATAGACGAGATGTAATGCCCTCTCTTCCTCCTTTCGCTCCGCCTTCTGCTCATTTTGAACTGTGCGTGCCTATCTACTAAGATCTGACAGCTCCACCCTTGAAGGCCTCGGCTCCTCCATGCTCTATTCGTCTAGAACTTCTTGGCCCTCGAGTTGTATATCATTTCTCTTCCCCACCTAGATTATTACAAAACGTGGTATCGTACATATTAAACCCTCCTCATTTTGCTTTTCTGGCTTGTAATTGAACATCTTCTTGCTTGCCCAAGGCGAGGATGATTCGTGTTTCGTAGTCATCGCACAATTACTTGCATGAGAAGCCACTCATGTAAGTAATTGGTTCATCGGAATTTCATCCTCACGTTGGAGGGGTTGTGCCAAGCATGCTAGGAACTTGCTTTCGAATGAGCCCGCGAGTACCTCGCCCTTCTACACGAGGCATGCCTTGAATAGAACGAGGCTCCCGCATTAGAGATCTATCGAGACGTGCAGGAGTTCTCGTCACGACTGTTCGATACTCCCCTGGGAAGTTACCCTTGGGCAGCGGCACTGATGCAGTCCGCCAGATATGATCGGACGTGTCACCGAGCCAAGCAGGGATCTTGCTGTTGGAGCTGCCGCGAGGAGGGGCATAGCCACCGTAAGTAGAGGCGCCATGAGATGCCCGGATGGTGGAAAGGCGGGAAAGACCCGTCGACAACCCGGAGCGGCCTCGGGCCTTCTTAGCCATGATGATCTCGTCGAATACACGAATCGAGGCGTTATTGGCTGGCTGCATCTCTCGGTCGTGGATAAACTCGTTGAAGCCTTTTGAGTTTGGAGTTAGTATTCAGACCGTTCAAGCGTTAAGGAGGTGTGGCCAAAACTTACACTGTGTTTCCCGCATCATAGTAGCATAGTCGTGCTGATCATGCGGGAGACTTTTGATAAAACCATCCATATCAAAGGCATACAGCTGGCCGCTGGCTTTTTGCTGCTTCGAAGGCCGTCCAAGGTACTTGCGGTACGTATACAACAGACTTGCAAGGCAGCGAACAAATGCTGCTCGGATACGGTCAGGGTGGAATGCCTCGGGGCAGACAAGCGAAGCATGGCCGAGGCATCTGCCGTGGGAGAAGATCTTGCAGCCTGTGCACTTGTAGATGCCATCTCCCTCGGCGTGGTCATTGCAAATATTGCAGATCGAAATGTTGTCCTTGGGGATCCAGTTGAAACAATGGCCTTCGACCCAAACGGTTGTCTCTGTGTTTCGGACAGGCTGGATCTGCATACTGGGCATAATGGTTGATGCCGCAAGCGTTGACTGTGCGTAGGTCGAAGGCGCATATCCATTTCCATATCCACCACCACCACCACCACCACCACCAACAACGGAGTTTTGAGAGTCCACTGAGATAGCTGAGATCGACAGGTTTGCTTGATGGCCGTTGAGGAAGGGGAGGTTTGGCTTGTGATATGGCGGGTGCTTATCGATGCCAAAGGAGGAGCTGCGTCGCATCTTTTCTTCGCCAAAATGTCCAGAGCGTTTCTCTCGAAGAGTCGCTGCCAAAGCAAAGCCAGAGTCGCTGCGAGAAACTGGCGTGGAAGGCATTGGCGGGAAGTTTATTGAAACAGGGGATACAGACGACTGAGGACTGGTCTTACCAGACTTGCTTGTGCTGGGTCTGTCCGATTTGCCGTTGTCCACCTTTGCCGAAGCGAAAGCATTGAACAATGGTGGCAGGACCTCATTTGGCGGGTCTGGCTCGCCAAAGCCCGAGGAGCTTTGAGACACCCATTTGCCTAGAGTGCTCTTGGTCGTTGCGGATCTGAAAAGCGCGGCATTCTCAGTAGAGAAGGCGTCGTAGGGGAATGATTCCATGGCATAAGGAGGTGGTCCAGTTGTGACTCCATATCGAAGCTTGTGAGGTGCGGCGACTTGCAAAAGAGACATGAGTTTCCTTCGGGCCTGACGAGGAAGTCGAACAGGTTGTGAGGTAGCATCAATAGTATCCTTGTCCAAGTCAACGAGCACATAATCGTCCTCGGGGAGTTCGATTCTGTCGTAGCGTCGCTCAATGCCGACGATATATGGGCAAGGCGCTTCGAGAGCCGACAAGAGTCGCGCGGGGAGGACGGGAATGAAGATACTCGACCATTTCAGGGGGTATAGCAGGTTTGCTAGTGCATGGCAGGCGAGGTGCAACATGCTGGTGTGAGAGGAGAGGAAGATGATTCGGGATTCGGCCATAGCGTACTCGAACAGAGCGACAATATTCTCGAGTGACAAGCAACGAAAGAGAGCGTAGAGATCGATGGATCGCGAACCAGGAATTTCATTGTCTGCCTCCTTACGAGCATAAAGTCGCAATTCGCGCACCCCCAGTTCAACCTGAGTCTTCGATCCTAGGGGATTGAATGCCTCGGTGCATAGGTTTACGACATAACGCTCAAGAGGTTGCCAGCGTCCCACGCTAGGTGAGCTTGGGGGAATTCTTAGGACACCCCCATCTGTCATGGGGGTAACGATAGCCTTGAGCCATTCTTTCCAGAAGGACATATTAGCTGCGTCTCGGCCCAAGATACCATATGCACGAGGCGTCCAGAGTCCGCTCTCGCCGGCAGTGAGACCCTCGATTTTAGACGCGGCCCCATGTCTCAGGGGCCTAAGCATGTCCGTCATGAGGGTGATCTTTTCTTCCACAGTGCTGATTTCATCTTCGAGCCTCTCTCGTGCTGGAGAGCCTGATGGGATTGTAGGGAGTTTTGCGAGGAGCTGTGACAGATGGGTACGTTCACCAGCCAAGCGAACTCCCAAGCTAGCTGCCAGCTCTCGCTCTTCTTCGGACATGTGACTCTGGCGCCATTGTTCGCACTTCTTTTCCACTTCCTCTGCCACCTCGGCATTGAGAGCAGTCCAGATGATAATAGTTATACCGTAAAGCTTGGAGTTATCATCCGAAGTCATAGTAAACCCATGCCATGTAGATCGAGGTCGGTCATCGGACGAAACAATCTGAATGTCGTTGGGAAAAGCAAACATGGGCACATAGTCAGGAAATTTTCCACGTCGAGAAATCTCATCTGTAGCCTCCTGAGAAGGATATCGGTCAAGAAGGACCGGTTCAAAGCGTCGTTTGAGAGGATGCATATCGGGGTCGGTGTTAAGGGGTTCGGGGGGTGGAATTACGGAGTTGTAATTGCTAAGTCGTCTTGTAGTTCGGATCGAGGCTATGATTATAAGTTAGCGAACGTCTCTGCATTTGCCTGATAGTTTGATAAGACCAAACCTCAGAACATGGTGAAGACCAACCTGCGCGACTTGTGCTGATCCTGTTGCTGGGTTGCTTGCGCACGCTGTTCATATCCCTAAAGCTCATCTTGCGGCGGATGCTACCTTTAATACTCCTGAGAGGACTCAGTCTGCCGCTGTCGCTTTCCTCTGCCTTGATCCTCTCTGCCCGAGGATTCACCATTGGTGCTCGAGCTTGCACTTTTGCGCCCGCACTGAAGGTCAGGTCCTCGAGAAATACCTCTCTCTCAGCGGCAAATTTGACCAGAGCCTTATCAAAATCGAAGTCGCCCATTAGCATGGAGCCTTCGCCAAGGATGCCACTGGGGCCGACATTTTGGCCATTGATGCTGCTGTTGCCATTGCCGTTACCATTGCTGTTGGTATTGTTAAAATTAGGGGGGTTTATAGCACGAATGGTGGCGCTGCTGCGGTTGCTTTTGGTATTGCCGTCTGTTTCGTCGAGAGTATGTATGGAGAAACGGTCGGTGAGAGATATCCGAGAGAGACGGTTGGCGGAGCCCTGGCGTGAGTGTCGTGCTTTTGCTTTTGGTTGGTCGCCGTTTGTGTCTTCATCCTCAGACTCGCCATCCTCAACAATGGTAGACTCGACGGGAACAACAACGGGGACGGATTGGGAGTTGGGATCGTGGTAGGACACCGACTCTACGCCGGCGATCCAGAAATAATCGGCGAGAGGGGTCGATGAGTTCTCCATGACATGTCAATCGTGGTGTTTGGGCCACAAACGGGCGATACTTCAGCGAATGAAGGGTCGTAGATAAAAGCAATCGAGTCAGTTGTCAGTGTATTCTGCTTGACTTGCCGTGGTTTTGATTTGAAGAGGTGGGCGATCGACAAGACAAAATCAGGCCGGGTTGCTGGGGTTTCAGTTAGGTCATGAACGATAGGACCAGTACCAGGGCCTTTTTATCAGGCGAGTACGAAGACAGCGATAACGGTAAGTTCAGCTGTGGACGACTCACGACCAAGTGAAGGCCGTTGCTTTTCGAGGCCGAATCTGAACCAACAATAGGCTCGAAATGTGGTAAGTACAGATGATGCGCTCGAGGAAGCGCAGCAATGCTGTATGTGTATAGCAGCGATGAGCCAGTCGCCCAGAGCCGCTCCTGGTTGCACGTAACGGGAGCCAAAAGTTAGTTTAAAGTGGATGGACGAGCCAGCTAAAAACCTAACGGAGGAGATAAAGGAGATGCAAGAACTCCAGAAAGCCACCGAACCCAAATGGTCAAGAAGAAAGTGAAAGAGAAGAAAGGAAAAAGGCCGTGATAGAGAGTAGAAGGATGAGATGAGAAAATGGCACAACCCAGGA